ATACTAAATATTTATTTAATTTTTGATTTATTTATCTCAGTTGAATTGTACAAAGTTCTATTTCAATATCTCTGTCCTACATGTGATAATTCAATAAACGTGACCTTTTTAAATCAGTAAACATAACATGCGATTAAACATATTTCATTAATTTAGTGTGATATTTTAAAAGACGCCATGTTATTTATTCTCAGAATAAATGATATGAGTTATTTAAATGTATGCAGTTAGTATAGAAGAACGATATGAATACTTCATTCTGTTGGTGATTTGAAGTCTTGCTAAATATTGTGGAAGTTTTCTAAATTTAGTTGTTCAATCGTGAAGCTATCTTTGTTCACCGGAATAACATATTTACCGAATTTACAACGAGTTATAGAATTAACAGAAAATAAACAGGAATATGTTGATTGAGAACATACGGAAATAAAAAGAATATCTGAAAAGGATTAGGTTTTTCGGGCTACCATAAATGGAAGCCCACTGAAACATGTTACACCATGCAGTGAATAAGTAATATAACAAGGGTTTTCAATATCTTATTTATCCTCGTATTCCATACAGAGACTAATAGGTGACTGAGTTAATACAAACAAATCGATACTTGAACGGCACACTACACAGAGAGTAGATCACTTTAAACCAGATACACGAGGACTAGAGTAAACGATAAACAAAATTTTACTCCATACAATTATAAGCAGATACATTTTGGTGAGTCCGGAGTAAAATTAAAAAGAGGAAATGAAATCGCATATTTAATAATCACTATGCTGTACTAAACTCCGCCTGGAGCCCATCCAGGGCTACTGCCGCTCCCAAGCCCGGACAAAGGAACGCGGTTGGGCATGGGGTTGGCGACCCCATCCTGCAGAAAAAACGCTGACCAGAAAATCTGATTCAAACCATTTTGACTGTTCTGAGAGTTGGAAGGTCTTCGTTCAGGACGTCTCATGATGAAAGCCGAGTTCCTTCGGAAGTATCGAGGCCGATGTCCTTCTCATAACCAGGAAAACCACTTTCTTAGGTACATGGAACGTTCGTACATTGTGGGAGACTGGAAGACTATTCCAAGTTGTTTCAGGGATGAAAAGATACAACCTGGAGGTCCTTGGAATAAGTGAAACGCATTGGACAAGGGTTGCATGACTAAGACCAACTTCAGTAGGACTGCTGTTATACTCCGGCCATGAAGAAGAAAATGCCTCACAAACACAAAGAGTCGCACTGATGCTGTCCAAACATGCACAAAAGGCACTGATAAGATGAGAACCTCATCATCAAGACATCCTTCAAAACAAAGATAGAGAACGTTACGATGAATGTCATCCATTGCTATGCACCTACCAATGACTACAATGATGACGATAAAGATCAATTCTACGAAAGGCTACAGTCCAAGGTCGACAGATGCTCACCACAAGATTTGAACATCCAGATTGGAGACCTAAATGCCAAGGTTCGCATGGACAACACTAGATATGAAGACATCATGGGATGACATGGACTGGGAGAAATGAACGAAAATGGTGCGAGATTCGCAAACCTATGTGCCTTCAACAAACTGGTCATCGGCGGAACAATATTCCCGCACAAACGCATACACAAAGCCACATGGATTTCACCGGATCACACTACTCAGAACCAAATAGACCATATCTGTATCAATAAAAAGTTCAGAAGGACCATGGAGAATGTGAGAACCAAGAGAGGAGCTGACATAGCCTCAGATCACCACTTGCTGGGCGCTAAAATAAAACTGAAACTAAAGAAGCACTGGATAAGGGGGCAGACAACATCACAGAAGTTTAATACGGCCTTTCTTCAGGATAGCGTAAAAATCGACGAATTCAAGATATCCCTCACCAATAGGTTCCATGCGTTTCAGGATCTACTCAATGGACAGGAAACAACATTGGAGAACAATTCAAAAGGGATCAAAGAGGCTATCACTTCAACATGTCATGAGGTTCTGGGCCACAAGAAGTACCACCAAAAGGAATAGATTTCTGTTGATACACTGGATAAGATTCAAGAAAGGAGGAACAAGAAGGCAGCAATCAATGTCAGCCAGACAAGAGCAGATAAAGCCAAAACATAATCTGAATACACAGAAGCAAACAAGCAAGTGAAGAGGAGCATCATAGCTGAAGAACGAAAATATATGGAAGATCTACTAATGACAGCGGAAAAGGCTGCAAGAGAAGGGAACATGAGACAATTGTACAAAACAACAAAGAATCTCGCTGGAAACTCTTGTAAACCAGAACGAACAGTGAAAAGCAAGGAAGGGAAAATAATCAGCAACACTGATGAACAGCGAAATAGGTGGGTAGAGCACTTTAAGGAACTATTGAATCGACCAGCTCCACTGAACCGACTCAACATCGAAGCAGCATCTACGGACCTCCCAATCGATGTTGGCCCACGAACAATCGAAGAGATCAGTATGGCTACCGGAAAATGGAGATCGGCAAAGCAGCGGGACCAGAGAACTGTCTGGCAAAGGCTATGAAAGCCGACGTGGCAGCAACTGCAAAATTATTCCACATTCTTCTCTACAAGATTTGAGACGATGAACAAGTACCAACGGACTGGAAACAAGGATACCTGATCTCAACAACTACAGCGGCATCACTCTTCGCTCGATATCAGGCAAAGTCTTCAACAGGGTATTGTTAAACAGAATATATTACTTTGTAGACGCTCAAATGAGAGATCAACAGGCTGGATTTCGTAAGCATCCATCAGTTACCGACAAAATGTTATGTGTAACTTGACGTTCCCATTCTGTATTACCTCATGTCTCACACTCCGATTGTATATGAGATTTTGGGCACGAACACTGACATGTAACTCGAAGAGTTTCATCACATGATTCTTGCTTGCATAACAAATACAACACGTGTTCTTCCTTTTAATAACATCCATAAAACATCAGATTTTTATTAATAGATATCTAAAAGCAAACTGAAATTAGTACAACCAATACCAACAAACAAGAATTTTACTTTGTTTTCAATAACCGGCTACTATTATTGTCAAATAAGCTCACAGCTATACGATATGAAAATCAATGACTAAACAGAGGTTCGCGTTCTAACTGAGTCCATTTTAAACTAACATAGTGGAAATAAATCAATAACGACGGAATTGACAATGCTGAAAAAATGATAAACTGAAGTATGGCAGTATACGATAAATAAAACTAATATACATACCCTATGTATTGTTAAAACAATATGATCGTTTTTATCGTTATTGTTTGTCTAAAAAAAAAGCTTTTTCGAATCTCTAACTATATCTACATGCTGGAGAATCGATTGAAAGTTAGGTGTGGTCATTTGTACGCTGTCTACACCAATTGATTTTCTAGAACAATAATCCCTCCAAGGATAATTTAGGTCAGCTTTATGGATTATCTCATTGATTTTGAATAAATATGATATATATAAATATATATTGATACTGATTTTAAGGAAGGTGAAAGAAAGCTCATATTTCTGTATATTATAAAACAGCCCAAATAGTATTATCTCAACTACTAAAAGAATATAGAATCTAAAGGAGGCAGAATTATTCGTTCAGTTTTAATCACAAGAGACAAGTTGAATAAATTTTGAAATTATTTTAATTTGAACATCTAAATATTTAAGCCATTCTTTAATCAACTTGGATATATTCTTACAAACTATTAAATTCACTTGGCTAAATTGACTACTTGGAAATACTGTTTAATTCTTGTATAATGAGATGTATTAAATTTGGTATTAATATGTGTATTCATTAAACTGTGATCAATGTACAACTATGAAGGGTCCTGGAATCACAAAAAAAGAAAAATTAATGATAACCGTAAAAGTTACATTTCATTGGTTTCAAAATTGACCCTAAAAAGATATAATTATGCTTTATTCAAATGTACACAATTTGTTACAGTTGAGTGACCTTCAAATGAGAAATCAATAAAGTGAAAATCATTCAGATAAAACAGAGTTATAGTATTTAAAAAATTGTGAAATATAATTAGCAATAGTTTTATGGCAGTTTTTATGTGCTTCATATCTTTGACAGATGTTAAGAGTACGCCAGAGAAATGGATAAGAAATAGATTGAAATGAAGAATAACTTCAATAGGTAAAAATTGTTGAATAACGAAAGTGACCCATTGTGATTCAGTAAAGAAAATATTCTTCTCAACGATTTCATTTTTTATGAATCTATATAGCCCTATTTATAGTGATATAACAATTAAATTAGCCTCTCTTTAATGCATTTCGTCTTACTTTGTAATTTATCTTTAATTTCATAGCCGTTACACAACACTTTTTTTGTACACTTTTAATTATATGAATTCATTACTATTTTTCACTACTATTTCTTAGATTACTGTGAATACAAGTGTTCAGCTTTTTTGAATGAGATACATGATCGAGAACATTCTTTATTACGTTGAACTATTTTAACTTCCTTTTCAACTTAAAAAAGTATTTACTCTTGTTCAATCGGATAATATATATATATTCTCACGAAATCCGGTTCTCTTCAAATTACTTCCAATATCTTGCAGAAGAGTTTATGATCCGTTTGAAATGTAAACAGTCTGATTACTATGAATAAAAATAAATCAACCATCTCTGATTTTTGATTCAGTCCTACAAGACTAATCTTTGCTCTATCATTATTCATGAAAACCACTTCAGCTGAATCTTTTTTGTGCATCTACACTGAAAAAAGATACATTCAGTACAAGCGAAATTTTCACTAACAAATGAACTGTATTTCACGATTATGATTTCCGTTGAAACATTTATTTTCCAAAAGCAAAGTTGACTTTAAGCTTAGCTGACAATTAATAAATTTCATCCATTGTTTTCAACAAAAACAGAAAGTGTGCACAATTTAACTTTTTATAAAAAAAAAACAAACCAATCAATAATGAATATGAAAAAGTCATTATTTAAAACAAAACAAAAATTCTGTGAACAACTTCAACTTACATGGCACGTCGCTTTAATTATTTGATCAATTATTTGATCAGCTAATGTATACGATAATTTTCTAATTTCTCCGATTTCTGCCAATGTTTCAGGAGCTAATAATTCACCAAATAAATGATTTAAAGATGACTCTGATTTGAAAGTATTCTTATGACAATTTTCTGAATTGATTGTGATCGGTGGTGACAACAGAGAGGAAGTAATATCTGATGTCGCAGCTGACGGATATTTGATATCGTGCGTAAGCCAATTAGGTGTGAGGTAGGTAGCTAAGTCGTAGAAGAATAAACTAAGCCAGAATTGGAAGACTAATCGACCAGATTCAGTCTACATGGGAAGAAAAAATAATAAACAGTGAATAATAAAGTTGAAACCATGAAATTAACTGAAAGTTTCAGTAAGATTTCTTCAACGTACACATAAATGAAGGACTAATATGGATATCTTGATTTCGTTAGAAATTTTAAACACTAGGCTTATGCCTTTTAATTTCAAAACTTATGTAATCTTTCAAAACGGTCCACTTTGTTAAGTAATACATTCAATAAGTCAATAGTCGGCTTTTTTTGTTATTAAAGTTTGGTTGGGCACTTTTTTAAACTAAATGATAGTTTATCAATTTAAAGCAGTCATATTCTTCTATCAAAGACAGGGAAACTATAATTGGCGTAATAATACTATCTATCATATATGACATTCAGTCTATGTCTTCAAAATAAGATCGACAGAGTTTCATCTTGTTTAAGAGATTTAAGATAAAGAGATTGATTTTAATCAGCTAATAATAATTTAATCCTTGTTGGTGCTTTGTTAGAAATTAGTTGCATTTTCTTTTTAATTTTCGCCGTTACTTCCTTCCTCACATAAGGCATCATCAGAAGAAAATCGAATCAATGACGACAATTATGATGATGATAAGATCATCAAAGGTCACCTTGAACTTAGTTTATTCAGTTCAGTTGAAACTCTTATGAATGAATGAATAAAAATATTTATTTCGATCAATCAGAAAATCTAAGAGTAAATAAAGTTTTTTTATTTCCATTTTTAAACTCAAGTTCATAAATTTGCGAAAATATTATCCAAAAATTCAAAATTCCGTTTACAACGTTACTCAATTAAGACAAAATTTCTAAAATTAGCTTCGTTTTTTTTTTCGGAAAAAACCATCTAATTGTATTTAACAGTATTTGGTTTTGACAAGTAAACTCAATGGATTCAGATCATTAGAAATTTTAATTCAGACCGACTTTCCGTTTTTGACAACGGCTTATTAGATTTCATGTTGCTTCAATTCCATCTACTGAAGAACAATATTGAGGCTTATACATTTATTTTCAGAGTTAGATGATTAAAAGAATTCATAATTACACAAAGCCATGGTATTATCGCATGGTGTGCTATCAGCCAACCCAACTGATGGGATTCAACAAGATCAAAATCACCCAATATTTGCTTAACACAATACAATCAATTAAATTACTACTCTCGTAACCGAAAACAATTTTTGTGTTTAGAAAATAACAATTTACCTGAAACTAATCAGGTGATAATTCTGGAAATCAAATTGAAGTATTTGTGGCCACCTAATGATAGTATATTTTTTTACATTTACGGATATATATATATATATATATATATATATATGTATATATATATACAAATCCCAATGTAATAATAAGACTATTCAGGAAATAAAAGTGCTTTCTAACACTTACTTTTTATGAAGCGTGCTAGCCGAACACATGCAGAAAAAAAAGGATGACTACAGTTTCGTATCATGTGATGCAAGAAATTAACAAGTAGATTTCGCTAAGGCCTAACTAGTGGTTTAACCTTTTCCCAATTATAATGATAATAATAATAATAATAATAATAATAATCCAGTATTAATGTGACTTAACTAAAACTTCATTTTAAAAGTACACATGATCGCGTAAAAGTATGCTTCGTGTTGGTGCTTGAAATTTAAAAACTGAAAGACCTAAATTGTTTCATATATTTTAAAAAAAATATTAGAAGGAATTTATATTATTTATTCTACTGAGTTATTTACTTTCGTCCAAGTTTTCTTTGAAATTAAATGTAGACATCATTGCTAACATATGTTATATGACCGGAAAAAAATATATTGATCGTTAGATGTAGAATATTCTTGATTATAATTAACATGTATGTCATTTATATAAGTAACTATAATAACTCATTCTGACCGATCAATCAACAGTAGTATCCTGTATCATGACTTACAATTAAAGTTTACGAGTGTTGGTTAATAGGTTCTGTTTAAGCTTGCATGTTTCGTTGCTGCCTTAGAATGATAAAATAAACTAGTTTCATTATTTCAGTGAGGCCAGTATGTTGTGTTCTTGATAGGGCTTATCTTCAGTCGTATTATGAAAGGCGTAAATATGATGCCTTAAATCAAACAACCTTCAGGCTATTGATAAGAGATTAAAGAACTCTGCTTCACCTAATTCGGATAAAGCAATAACATGGCAATATTAAATGGACTGACTGCGGAGCAATTATATTGTGGTGTGTGCTACTTAAACGAACGATATAAGTAGTACAAGAAGGGACGTGAAAGAAGAACTCTCTTGGTCACAAGAGGAAAACGGAAAGCAAATGGAGAAAAAGCAGGAAGTGAATGGAGTACCGACAGGAAGTAAAGGAAGCAACAGCAGGAATGGAAGAAGGCTGGAGCGTTGGAAGTCAGGACTCAAAGATGGTGTGCAAATAGAGTGTTCAATGTAATGTTTTCGTTTTTAATTGACCGACTCATTCTATATATCAGATTGCTTTAAAATTACTTAAAAGGGAACAAAAAACTAACTGTTTCTAGTAAAATTAAGCGCAGAAAATAAAACATGACGGAATAATAACCTTTCTCAGGATTAAAGTAATGCTGTATATTTTTTTTCAGAAACTCTTTAAAGTCATCATTATTTACTGATAATAATAAAGTCAACACTTTTCAGATTTTAAATACATAGCACCTATGACTATGTCATTAATAATGTATTTAATTTCAATGTATTCAGTTTCAAGCTTCACTCTAAACTTATCACCAGTTTAATTACTACTAAAACATGCACGGATCATGCATTTCTGGAGTAAAAGTAACAGTCACCAGTACAAGATGTGGGTTATCAAAGAATTCAAAGGATGTTTAAGTTATAGTAGCAATATGATGACTGGAAAGCAATTAAGTAAGTATCCGTAATTAATCAGAAGTTAGCCAAATTCCAATCAATATTTTAAATGAATACTTTTTGTAAATAATAGTTAACTATGATGAACTTAAAGGCTTCAATAAAAATATGCTATTTTTTATAAGGTTTTATTCAAAGTTGAACAAGTAATTTTTTTTATTTCTTTTCAAGGCGTTTTTTAACTTCAAAAAGAAATAAACAGTAAATTGTTAAAAAGAAATTTGAAATGAGAAAAAAAAGTTGTTAATGTCTCTTGATTTATATGTTGATTTTAGTAAACTAAGTGAATAGTAAATCTATAAAAGTAATCACAAGGTACAACTCATTAGCACATCAAATTAATTTTCTATAGAAAACCAAGCTTTTAAAAATAACAATAAACTGCAAAGCTAAAAACCAAAGAAGGCTTTATCAGGTGATTGATCAAATAATCGCACAGAGTGTTCATTTTGGTCGTTGTTGAACGAATATTAGTCAATTAAAATATTAACAAATATACATTCGTGTATTATAAATCATATTCTAAAACACGAAATTTCAAAAACGTCATTATAGAGTTGTCAAAATTGTTGAGTTTCATTGAAATCGTTGATAGATAAGTGTCAGACTAAAATTAGAAACCTGGATGTATTGGACATCCATTTTGTCCTAGTATAGGACTCATCATCTGTATGCATCAACGACCCTCAAGCGGAAATCGAACAAAGGACCTTGGTCTCGCGCGCACACGCAAAGTTAGACATTAGCACCATTGGGTGCCGGCTCAGCGGTCAAGGGTCTAAGGGCTTGTGGGTAAGACCAAAGGTCCTTGGTTTGATTCTCGCTTCTGGGTAATTTGTGTAGATAGTTGAGTTCTATACTTAAACGAAATGGATTTCCAGTGTTTCCAGGCTCCAAGTGGTTGTCTAACACTGATCAATTCATGATTTCTATTACGTTCAAAATTGTCTACGAAAGGTTCAATTCACAATAAACCTACATATATTTATTCCTTAAAGTGACTGCTACGCATAGAATGCGATTACCATGAGGATGAGATCGAGAGCCTGATTCGGAAAATCAGTTACTCTTTATTTTGATATTTTGTATTACCACTATCTAAGTTCCCATGAAAAGTGATTGATTCAGTGTGGCGTTTGTTAATATTTGATTGCTAAATGACTGTCATAAATATTAAAATTACTCGATGCAACGTTGTACATTTAAAAATTTACTAACACATTACGTTCAGCTTAGTGTGTAGGTATGAAAATTTTCACCTTGCTTTCTTTCTCTTCTCTCTTGCATCCAGCTATATTCTAAATTTGTATCGGGTTGTCCTTACTAATACAGAAGAAAATCGATAATGCTTACAATTCGTAGTTAATGTTTGTAGTGCCTCCACATACATTTCAATCCGCCCATATTTAATTTGGTTAAGCCTTTTGATTAACTTATCTAACAAAGCCACTTGTATAGCAACAACTTATATATACCATTGGCTTTTATTATTGTATGGTTTGTATAAGTTTATACGACCGAACATTGCTTACCGCATACGCGAATATTCATCCTACCTGCATTAATGTTAACCTCGTAAATATTTCGATGACTCAACCATTTTCCTATGTATATCATATGCAAATCTTATTATTTCATTCGCCAATTCGCTAGCTTGTTTGCCTTTCGCTGCGTTTGCCTGCAGTTTACTGGTCAATTTGTGGTGTACCAAATAAACGTATTCAACCCTTCGTATTCGCCTTCTGATTTCTAAACTGTGAGGCGCTATTTAGAAACGATTGTCTGGACGAGCAAAATACGAAGTCTAAGGACACGTTGGATACCGACTGTCACAAAACTAGTGATACATTGGCCACCAAATGTTATCAACAAAAAAAGAGAGTAGTTTCCTCTATATATCTACATTTAACCTGGAGTCATAACATCTGCTTCGTCCACAATTTCGCAAATACTGTCCTATTCATCGAAATATTCAAGAGCTGAGGCTTATTAAGAACCATTTGGCGTCCAATGCTCTTGTTAGCATTAAATCCTGTTGTCATTAAAACAAGAATCTCTGACTACCACGATGAATTTCTCTGTCACTCAAGTAACAAAAGAAACCCCTCCACA